GCCGGATCAGCACCGTGGTCTGATGAATGGAGAGAGTGAGCTGGGGAACAGGAAAGTCTGGGAAACCACAGGAGAGGGACCTTGTACCCTCTCTGCTTCCTCGGCTTTTTCAAAAATATATATACACATAGCAACATCCTCCTCCCCATGTCCTCCCTGCCTTGGGACCCCTCCTCTCACCCCCAGCAGTTGCCATGGGGTTTCCTTCCAGATTCGAGGACCCTTGCCACCAGAAGCCTGGACTCAGGGTGCTCCAGCGCTGGGGAGTGGTGAGGGCCTTCCAGAGATTCTCGTTCTCTTTCTCCTGTTTTCTTCTTCCCCACTTTTCCCTGGAGGTCTAGCTCTGTGGCCTGAGCTCCAGGCCTGTGTGAACTCACTGTCAGCTCTGGCTGGCAGAGAAGGGCAGGTGTCGGGAGCTGTCGGGGCGAAGACTTCCCAGGGGCTCCTCTGGCTGTGTGGGGCTAGGAGAGCGCTCTGTAGAGTTGTGGCCAAACCTCAGCTGGCTCGGCCCTCTCTCTGACCTCAGGGCCTGGCCACACACCTTCATGTGTCTTTTTGCCTGCTGGAGGACACGGACCATCGATGCACTTGGTGGGTGGGACCCTGCTTGTGCTGGCCCCACGCGGGGCTGTGCTTCCTCTCTAGAGCCAGTCTATGCCCTTTATCCAGTAGGCCCCAGCCCAGACCTCTTTGGCTTCAGGAACTTGCCTTGCCCTGCAACGTTCTTATCCTGATCAAAGTCCAGACAGGTTTTGGGGGGGGCTCAGGTCTGGGATGAGAAGGGCACTGCCCTCCCTCACCCATATTGCATGCCCCCCCCCATTCCCTTACACCTACCCCACCTACAACTGAAGACAATGCACTTTACAGATATTGCCCACACACACCTCGCTGGGGCAGGGCACCCAGCATCAGCCCTGGGGAGAGAGGCTCCCAGAGGGCCACCATGAGCCCAAGATGTCCTTCCTGAGGCAGAGATTGAAGCCATCAGAGCCGGGGCTGGGAGCCAGAATGCCTGAGTCCTTCTGTCCGTCAGAATCTCCACTGCCTCTCCAGCCCTTTTGCAGCCCTGTTTATTTATTATAAATATATTTTTTACAAGCCCCAGCTCCTCTTCTTGCCCTGCATATCCAGCTCCTTACTCAGCTCCTGCCTCCCTCTCCCCTCTCCACCATGGGCTGCAGTACAGACAGACAGACAGACCCTGGCTGTATGAAGGGCCAGGGCCACTGGGGCTTGGGGGCAGGGGAGGGTGGCAGTGGGAGGGGCTGTGTGGAGAGGAGCTGGGGTTCAGGCATTGTCTTTTTTTCCTCCTTGTATATAAGAATGTATATTTGATGCCTCATAAAAGACCTTGTGCTCACATCCTGCCTCTGCCTCCTACTTCTGTGCCCCTTCCCCACTGTGGAGTCCATGGAGTGAGGCTTTAGCCCAGGGAGGCAATGCGCTAATGGTAGAAATTCAGGCACCTGGGTGGACGAGATGCTTTGGTTGGGGAGAGGTGGGTGTGAGGGAGGTTTTCCTATTTCATTTCATACAGTTTGCATGACAGAGTGGCAAGAGTATGGGTTTTGGAGTTGATCCAGTTCACATCCTGGGTTTCCACTTCCTAGGCAAGTGATTTTGGGAGAGTCACTCTCTCTGAGTGATAAGTCGTTGCCAAATGGAAATATGATGACTCCAAGGGGTAATGGATGCCAAGTAGCCAGGATGGAGCTGGGCAAGTTAGTTCCCTTGTCTTCCTTTCATAGGATGGATGTTTTCTTCCACTCTTGGGGCGTCTCCTCTCACCCTGGATGCGGCTGGTCTGGCCTGGCCCTGGAGCTCCTCCCTCCTCCCCGCAATGGCTGGCCACATTTCTATCCTTGAGGGTAGGGGAGTGACTTGGAAGGTATGGGGCTCAATACATTTTAAGAGCTCTGCATATATACTTAGGATGTTAGATAACAAAGAGCTGGACTCCCTTTCGTTTACAGAGAAGGGGACAGGCCGAGAGAAGGGAAGAGTCTCTCCTGAGACCACTCAGCAAGTCAGGATGGGGTTTCCTGACTTCTAGCCTAGCCTCAGGGTCCCTTCCAGTCCTCCCAAACCTCTTCGCTCCAAAACAGATGTGTTTCTGGCATCACTAGCCTAGTGCAGGACAGGTGGGGTTGAGCCATGGTTCTTGGTTAGAGCCAGCAGGGTCCCCAGAAGCAGCATTCAGTCACTATTTTGCTGCCTTCCTAGAATCTGGAATGGCCTCTAAAAGGGAATGGTTTGGATGGCCCCACTCTTAGCAGCTCAGACCAATTCTTTGTTTTCTTCCTTATATGCATGTTTAAAGGTGTCCCAGGAAGACAACTAGCAAAAGCAGCAGCTGGGGCCACCTACGCATTTGATGCTGCCTCATGGACCAAACTTGAGGGTTTGAAGAGCTTAGACCAGTAGGGTCCTGAATCAAGTCCAATCAACATTTTTTAGTTTTCTCCTCTGCTGGACCAAGCTGCACTACCATTTCCCCACCTTCAGCTTGATTCTGGTTGCATTTTTCTAAAGCTCAGCTTTTAGCGCTCAAATCCTGGCTCAGTGACTTGCCTATGCTGCATTTGGCAAGTCACTTACCCCTTCAGAGCCTGGCCTTCCACGTGTGAGATGATGGTGTAACAACTTTTCAGGACAGTTGTTAACAGATGCATGTGAAGTGCCTACTTCATGCCAGACACACAGTAAGCCACCTACAAAAACCACTTATCTTGACATGGGAGGTGTTCCACAAGGTGGCCCATCTAATCTCTGTGGTCCTAACTCTCATTCCTCACCCACACGTTGGCCATCCACTTACTGTTCCCCAAAAATGCCTCTGTGTACCTTCCAAACTCAGTATTTTACTTGTGCCTTTCCCCCCGCCACAATACTCCCCCCAACATCCCTGATGAAGGTTTTCCCAACCCTTGCAAGATGGGCTTGAAGAACCCATCCTTCGGCCGGGCGCGGTGGCTCAGGTGGCTCACACCTATAATCTCAGCCCTTTGGGAGGCTGAGGCGGGTGGGTCACAAGGCCAAAAGATCGAGACCATCCTGGTCAGCATGGTGAAACCCTGTCTCTACTAAAAAATGCAAAAATCAGCCGGGCATGGTGGCGTGTGCCTGTAGTCCTAGCTACTCGGGAGGCTGAGGCAGAAGAATTGCTTGAATTCAGGAGGCGGAGGTTGCGGTGAGCTGAGATCTCGCCATTGCACTCCAGCCTGGGCAACAAGAGCGAAAACTCCGTCTCA